TAATAATAATAATAATAATAATAATAATAATAATAATAATAATAATAATACTAATAATAATAATAATAATAATAATAATAATAATAATAATAATAATATACTATAATATACTATAATATAACCATCATTATCATCATCATATACATTCATATATTCTACTTTTGCTAATAAAAATTTACTACAACCAAATATTCTCAGTTTTACATCTATATAAAACTAAAAATATAATTTCATCCAAACATTTTCTAATTTTCTAAAAAATATTTGGAATTGGGGTCAAAAATAGGTAAGAAACAAAAGTTATTGGGCCCGATTTACAATTATGGCCCAATATTTGTTGTATATTGGAAATTTGGAAATGATTTAATCCCAAATGTATAAATAGAACAAACTACTAATTTAATTGATAGACGTATACTAAATTATGCACCTCCAACTATTGCCCTCTCAGTGAGAAGCTGACTTGTGCAATTCATTATGGTGAAGACAGACCGCTTTCAGATGGACGGTGCACTGATCGTGTATGGGATTAGGGTTTTGATTATCGAAAGAAATTATGGAAACATAAGGGTTTTGATGAGTGATATAGAAAAGTGTATTTATTACGGAGGATTAGATTTCGCGTGGAAGAAATTCGATTAGATTTTTAACATGTTGTTTACGAAGCCTTGTAGTTAAAAGCAAACGCGCAAATGAAATATATTTGAGCAAGAGTTGCGGCTAATATTTTGTGGTGATTTTTAACTGAAATTGACAAGTTCTTTACAATATCTCCAAAACACAAGTGAGATCGACAGGACGGGTGCTAAAATTTTGCAGCCCCAAGCATATATAGTTCGAAAAATAATCCTATTTTATAGACTTTTTGTAAACTTTAATTGTTTAAAAGTTTGCTTAGCTTTGTTAGTTTAAAAAAAATGCCAAGGCTATTTATATTACTTTACATCCCTATTTTTTATATGATTTGATTAGTCCTACGGCTAAGAGTGATACTATAGATCATTTCGTGAAAATTCTAGAAGGCAACTGCAGAGATTTATAATCAGTTATCCGGAATTTTTATAATTTTTTAGAATTTAGTGACAAGTTCCTATATATGTATATCTAGAAGTATTTATCTATTAGTGGTATACTTTTGTCTATTGGTCTAGTTTTCTTGTTCGAGTAAGAACTTCTTTGGTCCAACGAACGTAGAAATTTAGTGACGGTAGAAATTTATCTAATAATGTTGGACATAAAAATACTGAATGATTCACCGCACTAACAACTTAAATTTTGATTGAGGTGGTCATTCAATATGATATCAGAATCAAATCTCACCTAAGATTAAGTGTTTGAACCGCACCACAACTCATTTAATAAAAATCTAAGTGCAAGACTTCAAATATAAATCACTATCTTGTACTTGAGGGGCCATGCTGGACATATAAGTATGGTTCATCTCACTATAAACAGTTTAAAGTTTAAACTTTTTGGTTCATGTGGCAACAAATAATATAAGATGAAAAAACGAAAAATAAACAAAAACATACGATATTTTCAAGTGAAAAGGCCTAAATGGAAGCTTTCAAGTTCTTTATCTATTAATTTTGAATTTGGGCTAGTTTTAAATTAAGTTTGATTAAGTTCATAGAACTTTTTATTTCACATCAGATGAGATCTTCAGATGAAAAGACCAAAAAAAAAAAAAAAAAAAAACCGTACCAAGTCACGTGCATTGCGCTTGCACCAGAATTTGTCAAAATTCACGTGAAAATTTGTCTTAAATGGTTAAATGGGTCAAAATACCGAGTGTCAGAATCTGTCAAAATTCACGTGAAAATTTGTCTTAAATGGTTAAATGGGTCAAAATACCGAGTGTTTGTGCATGCACGTGCAAATTGAAACTTAGAAATGAGCTTTGTAGAAAGACTCGAGATACACACTACACCAACCATCAAACTTGTCCAGCTTAACAGGTTCATCTCCCTTCAATATTCTATTGTCAAATGTCCCAATCTCTCACTCAGTGGCCTATTTATGATATTCCATAAATAGAAAATGACATATAAATAATTGAATGAAAAGAGAAAGTTTAAAAATAAATTAATAAAAAAAGAAAAAAAATTGTTTTATAAAATAAAATTTGGGTATAGAAAGAATGGGTAATTTATGTGTAAAAAAAGGCAAATAGCAAATAGGCACATGATAAGCGACTTAAATGCACGTATGTATAAAAAGCAGTTTTCCAAATGAACCCATCACATGTCTTTTGTCTAAAAATACTCTCCATAATATAATTTCATCAATTTCATCCATTATACTCTAACTTCATCAAATATATCAACCCCTATTTTCATAATTTTTTTTTAAATATTCTTTTTTTTTTTTTTTTTAGAAAATAACTATTTTCATAATTTTTTTTCAGAAAATAATTATTTTTTTCGGCCAGATTTCGGCGTTGCCGCGCAGTTCTCCGGCATGACTTTTTTTCTAACTTTTTTTTTTCTAAAATTTATTTCCGCAGTCGCCGGTCTCCAGGGTTGACTTTTTTTTTTTTTTAACTTTTTGTGTTAACAACAAATTTATTGTCTGAGATAGTAATAATGAATGCCAAAACAGTAATATTCGTAATATACTGACCCAAATAGTAATATAACTTTCCCGAACAGCAATTTTACTAATATTACTGTCTCAAACAGTAATATTAAGCATTGCATGAGAAAGTAATATTATGATCGTAGACAGTAATATTACGGTCAAAGACAGCAATATCGTAGCCAAGACGATAAAATTAATTAATACAAGTAATATTATGATCGTAAACAGTAATATTGCGGTCAAAGACAGCAATATTGCTGGCCAAAACAATAAAATAAAATTAATTAATACGGTAATATTATATGATCCTTCTCTACCGAAGAAATACTAACAAACCATATTTATATCTTATAGATTTTGCTCTGAAGTCACAACTAAAACTTACACACATGAGACATCAACCAATTTCAGCTATCATAGAGATCAACAGATTCAGAGATTCAGAAACAGAGATTAAGAAACAGTGACTATTTTGACAAATAAAAGCATTTTTCAGAGGTCTCATGGCCCATAGTTTCCTTCTTCCGCAGCTTTGGTACAAAAAACTTGGAATAAAAATGATACAAGAGAAGAGCGAAAAGGATAATACTCTCCCTAAAGTTGCCCCGTGCTCCTAATATAAATATTTATACATTTTCTGGACACTACAGTTTACAACATCTTACAACATCTATTGTTCGTGTACAATACATGTTTTTATCGGTTTTTATTCGTCGAGTGCACATTTCTCTAAATGACCAAGAAACACATACCTTCCTCCCCTAATAAAGAGTACTCCATTCAGTTATCAAGAACTAATCCCATTAATACAAATCAAAGCAATTTTACCTCGACAAACATGAACATCAAATTAGTCATTGCAGCAAAATAGCACGAAAAAAGAAAAAGAAACGCATAACAATTCCGATAAGAACTGAAAGACATAATTACATTCAAAATTAAACTACCAATTCAAAATCAAACTACCAGACACGAAGCCGGGCTCACAAATTGCACGAAAAAGAACACACCTACCGATAAATTACCAATACGCATAATGTTCGAATTACTAAACGGGCCAAAATTTCAGTATCTCGTAACAAACAGATAACTCAGAACACCCATTACTATATATCACAAATAGCAAAAAACTGATTAATTCAAAACAAAAATTCAAAAAAAAAAAAAATTCAAAATTCATAACCTTTCGGCAAGGCGAGCACTGACAGCTCTAAGCTTGGAGTAAACTTTAGCAGCAGGGGAACCCAAAATCAAGCTGCAGAGCGAATCCCTCGCAACCTTAATATTCGCAAACGAACCGAGTATGTGAATCTTCGTGTCAGCAATTACAATCCTGGTCCTCGTAGAGTTTTCAATTGCGAATTTGGTCCTTCCGCCTTTCCCGCTCAATCGCCCAATGGCGCGTGACAAGTGCTCCCCTTTTAGGGTTTTGACGTCCTTGATCTCGAAGGACTCGACGTAGAGCTCGTCCATTCTGAGCATGGCGACGGCGTCGATCACGTCGAAGCCGAGCATGAACGCGTGTGCGAAGTCGGCGCACTTCTGGAGGTTTCCGACCTCCGGCGTGTCGGGCCGGGTCTTCAGCTCGACCCGCCGGGCTTTGAGGTTCATCCTTATGTCGATCTTCATCTCCTCGTAGATCGGCGTGTAGATTTCGAGCCAGGCTTTCTTCAGCGGCGTGTAGCGGTGCGGCGGGACGGAGACTTTGCGGAATTGGATCTGGCCGCCGGAGATTTCGTGCGCTTTTAGGGGCCGGAAGTTTGGTTTTTGGGCGAATTGAACTGATGGCTGACGCGGCGGGTTCGCGGTGGCATCGACCTCCATGGCGGCGGCGGTGGTGGTGGTGACGGCGGCGGAAGAACTTTCCATGTCGGCTCCCGCGGAAGAACTGAAAATCGCCTTGGGTGGAATGTGGGGAGCGGGGGAGAGAGAGAATTAGGGTTTTGGAATTGGGGTAAATAGGCAAGTAAGGAAAGTTATTGGGCTTTATTTATAATAATTCCGGCCCAAGTGTGTATTGGAAATATAACAACACTACTATTTCGATTCCTAATCAAATTCATATTTGTAATTTATTCTTGCTGTTATACTAGGAAAAATTCGCTAAAAGTCCGTCGAAAATATTTTAAATATTAAATAGATTATTAAATTTTAAATATGAACTAGTATCTCACCCGTGCGATGCACGGGAATCAATTCTCATATCAAAATGCATTAATGTAAAAAACAACAAACAACAAATTAAAAAACATCGACGGACAAAAAAAAGTGTTTTCATTTTATCAGAAAAAAGTCTACATAAAAAAAAAATGGTAATGTTATAAATATCATCCGCTTCGAAATCCCACAACCAACTTCAAGAACTTCAAGATGAGCAAACGAATCAATGAACCACTGTTTCGCATTAATCTAAATGTTCGTAAATTATAACATGAAACTACAGTCAATCTATCATTAGAGGACGAATAACATGTTATTATTCATCAATTTCAAAATATAAATATATAAATAACAAATGAAGATGTATGAATAGACTAATTTTGCACAAAAAACAACATACTCGATTATTCATGGAAAATTATACTCATTGCAAATAAACATGAACATACAAAAACTGCACATGTTTAAATAACAAAAGATTTGTGAAAATTCAATATTGATCTCATTTTCCAGTCCAGTGTTTTAAAACAAAAAATCATGTATCATCGGCTTCTTTGTAGAGAATATTGCATGTAACATTAGTAAATATCGACATATTGTAACTTGAAAAATATTTTTATACCATGGGTGCGTTATCGCAATGGGTCCCTCGCAGCAGCTGCCTGCCGTCTGAAGCAATTGGCCTTTTTTT